TGTAAGCTAAGTTTTGTTCCAATTCTTCTACTTCATAAGGGATCAAGTTTCCGCACTTCACATTGTATGACAGGTCTGACGTGAGGAGTCTTGTAAAATAACGTTGTAATCCCTCAGTATTTTTACTGCATAATACTTTCGAATAGTTTATGACTAAAGTTAACTTAAGTGCAACAAAATGAAAACGCTGAGAATTTCTGCTCATTAGACAGTATTGTCATTTGTTTTTTCATGCATTTTAACCTTTATTCAGATTTGTTCTAAACATACTTTATGTACTTCAGTTTTCCTCGTCTGAGATTTTATTATGTAGTCTTTGGTTAAAAACTTAGCTTTTGCCACTTGATTTCTCTATTGCATGTTGCTGGACCACTGACAATAAGGCCATGTTTAGCTAGATTCAAGGTCACGGTGTGGTTCAGTGTGTGGCTGTTAACATTTGACCGTCTGCTAAGAAGGATTGCTGAAATCCGTGTAGAACGATATCCGATCCCACCTTGTTGGAAATATTTTTATCGGTTCTCTGGCACTGAACCGTTGTTATTTAACTATTACCTTTGTTGTTTAGCATGCTAAATTGTGCTAGGAAAATTTCTGACTGTATAGCACAGGCTTTACCGTTTAAGGTATTTTGTACCATTGATGTAATCTCATCTCTTCATTAAATTAAAACAGTCTGAATTTAATACAGAGTTTGCGTTATTACTTGTCATTCAAACACGCATCGCAATCCATATAGAAGAAAGTAGTTCAGTCTAATTCAGTAAAAGTTGGTTCATCAGTTCTGCATTCAAACTGAATATTGGTATTTCGGTCATTACAATCATATTAAGTTGTTTGATAGCTGGTAGGTATGTCTGCATGATTGTACTGTGGCATAATGCAACCACGTTGGTCAGTTTATTAATCATATGGGGAAACTCATTTGTTAAATTAATAATCCTTCCTATGAATATTGGACAAAAATTATTATTACAGCTTAGTGTGTAAAATTTACAATAAAAAACAGTTCCTTGAAGCCCGCTGACGAATTTTCGCCATTGGCGGTAATTTTAGTTCTATGGAAACTAAATTCTCTGGTCAGTTTCACTTTAGGAGATATATCATTTGAATCCAGAGCATTAGGCTGTACTAAATCAATTGAATAAAAAATATGAAAATTCCGGTCTGTAAATATGAGTTTAGGAACGTTCACTACCAAACAGTAAACAGATGGTAGAAATAGTGTAAGTAAACTGAAAATCAATTCTCCATTGATCCGAGTTTTTACAAAATTCAGTTGCGTGATATTAAGGGTTGCGTTTTATAAATGAGAAGAAAAAAACCGTAGGCAAAACGCAGCTGGTTAGCAAGTCGTTGAAAGAGACGTACCAAAAACAAAAGCTCCACTGCGTGTCAAGACAGATCTCTCTGAAAGGTCAGTCATTTTTTGTAAGTTAAGAGAATCTTCCGATAAGGAACCAATAGATAGATTTGAACACGATCTCAGTTATATTAAGTCTTTAAAAAACAAACTACTCCCAGATACACTTTCAGGACTTATTATTTGTAAACTTTATATTATAGGACAAAAGGTGGACTCTGAAAGTCCTCAGAAAAACCGCCTCTTGAAGGTTACATTTGCAACGGTTGAAGAAAGGTACCTGATTCTAGGTAAGTCACGTAAACTGATTGTATCCGGAATATAAGTCCGTGAGAATCTCAGCCTAGCTGATCGTATTGAGATGAGCTGCAGAAGTGGAAATAAATGAGCGTCGCCGAAACGGTGGAAGAGATTTCGCTCTTAATGGTTTTCAAATTGTAAAAGTTCGAAGCAAGACGATCCACGAACCACTCTTGGTGGTAAGGTAAAGTTATCCACAGACTTGAAGGTATGCTACACAAATACTTGCAGCCTACTAAATAAAATGACATGGTGTGTTCAAGTCAGTGTTGGATAAAGAAAAACCGGACGTTATCCCGGTCTCGGAAACTTGGTTAACATCAGGATTACTATACGATGAAATTCAGATGACTGGTTTTTATTCAGTAGGGCTGAAAGATTAGACCGTGGGGAAGGCAGGATTATCTTGTACACGAAAAGTACCTTAAGCATACAACCAGTTGAGACAGTGACATATATTTCAGGGACATGTGAACTGGTGTGATGCAAGCTGAATTGTGAACGGCAAGATATTGAATTAGTTGAAGTATATCGCAGTCAAGAATGTGTAGCATATGATTTTCTTCTAAGTAAACTTAAGTCCTGGATTAACGAGGGTAAAAGCCTTGTAGTAGGTGACTTTAGTGAATCGTATATAAACTCGGTTAACTTAGAAGTAGGGTCATCGATATCGTCGTTCGATTGCAAACTGTTAGAAACCTCGATTGGACTAGCTTTATTCCAACACATTAGAAATCCCACAAGATATGACTTCGGAAACTCTTCTCTTCTGTTAGATTTTGTCTTGATACACAGTGATGACGTTGGTCAAATGACTTTCCTCCCATCACTAGGGACAAGTGACTAAGAATTAATCTTATTCAAATTCATGGCTGAGATCGCCTGTCAAACAGTTGCGCCGACCGGCCCCAATATATGGAAGGCTGATATGGAGACAATCAACTCCGCAGCATCGGTTGAAAACTGGGAAATTGACTCAAGGACATCAGTACAAGAGTCATGAACTCATTTCAGGCAGTTATACAATTGAGCAACTCAACCATACACACCCAGGCCAGTCCCAGCCAAGAAGAAGGAAGGGCCAGTTCTGGATAGGCCGGGATACTCGACGTCTACTAAGACAAAAGAAGAAATGTTTGAAGGTTACTATCCGCCCTGGCACAGCAGGTACAATGAAACGCTACAGATCGATAAGAAACACATGTATAACTAGAATTCGGGAAGCTAAAAAAATATGAAATGCAGTTGGCACAATCTGCACTCAAGCAGCCTTAGAGAATATTGTCGTACATAAACTACGGAACAAGGATGCACCATTGGATCCCCAACCTAATAAAAGAAAGAAGTGAATCTGAAATGATAGAGGAAGTTCAGGAAAAAGCAGAGGATATGGTTGACCATTTTGGGGCAGTTTTCATACAGGAACCCCCTCCAGACAAAGAACCAAATCAAAATAAAGAGTCAACAAACCACCTGCTCACCGTGGACTTCGATCAAGACGATGTGTTTTAGGCTGTAAGCACCTCAAACATGGAAAAGTCAACAGGACCAGATGAACTACACCCCAAAATCTTGAGACATATTTATGATAATCAGGAGTATTAGAATTATAGTACGAACTGAGAATCCCAGAAATAACGTAATCGGATCAAGAAGTACTAGATAAGCACAAACGAATGTACTGTATTTGAAACTCGAAATCAAGCATTCGACAAGTACAAACACCACAATATTGCACAATATACCGCGGCCCCATTTACTATGTAACTTGATCAAGGTGTGTTACCTGTGGACTGTAAGGATGCAATCGTCACTCGCATACATGAAACAGAACCACGACAAGTTCCATCGAACTACAGACCTGTAAGCCTCACCAGTGTTGTAGTTAAAATATTGGAAAGAATAGTCAAACGGACCATAATGGCGTTTATGGAAACCAATAACTTGCTAAACATAGAACAAAATGGTTTTAGAAGGGGTCTATCTTGTACAACGAACCTCCTTATAGCAAGGGAACTTTTGATAAAAGCTCTAGACAACGGAAACTCAGTGGATGTTGTCTACATAGACTTCAGTAAGGTACCAACTATTAGACTGCTATTGAAGTTGGAAAACCTTGGTATTGCCGGACCTCTTTTAAAATTGACTAGGGTTTTCCTAGTAGGTCGTAGACAGAAAGTAAGAATAAATTCCAAGTGCTCCATCTGGAGACCAATAATTAGTGAATTACCTCAAGGTTCCGTCCTAGGTCCTTTACTTTTTATAATGTACGTTAATGATCTTCCAAGTATAGTACAGTCTCCAACGCTGACGATGTAAAGATCTGTCCAGTAATGACTGGAGACATAGACGCATGTGTTCTTCAGACAGACTTAAATAATGTGATTAACTGGTCTAAAGAGTGGCTGATGCCTATAAACTCGGAAAAGTGTGTCTACATGCACTTTGGGGATTCAAAGGTTAATAAGTACAATATAGGGGAAGTGCCATTACCCGTGGTCCGGTCTCATAAGGATCTTATGGCGACAGTGAGTCATGATCTTAAGACGACGGCCTATTGCCAAGAGGTCGCAGCTAAGGGGTTTCGAACCCTCTGGGTTTTAAAACGGACATTCACTAAGTTAGATACTACCATGGTCAGCACAGTATACACATCCATAGTGATAACTAAGCTTGGGAAATGCGTTCAGACTGCAAGCCCCTCTTCAAAAGGTGACTCGGATATCCTAGAAAAAGTACAGAGGGCAGCTGCACGTGCAATTCCAGAACTCCGGGATTTGCCATACAAAGAGCGTGTTGAAAGCTGGACCTCTTTACTCTGTCTATCGCAGATTAGGGAGAGATCATATTTTGATGTACAGAATACTGAGAAATGATTTTGAACCTAACTTATCCTCTCTTTTTCTTCCCACTAGATTGAGACACCTCAGAGGACATAGCAGGCGAGTAGAAATGCCAAGAACGAACAAACTACCCGTGGCATACTGGTTTTCACATCGAGCCATCTATACTTGGAACCTGCTGCCCGAAGCAGTAATGTCCTCACCTTCAATTGAATCTTTCAAGAGAAGACTGGACACTCACAGAAGCATACTAGAAAAGGAATAACATAGGCTATAGATCTTCTGTCCTTACTACACAAATCTGAATCTGTTCAGACTGTTCAGAAATAAACCAGGTTCGTTGTTTCAAAGTCTATTTAAAACAGAATCATTATCCTCGAACTTAAGGCGAATGGGGATTGTTCCCTCTTAAATGTGGACTTGGAAAACACTTTTGAAAGAGACATTGAATTGTTATGATGAGTCTCTTTGTCTATATCTGTTCAAGGCCAAGTGACTTTTTAACACTTTGGCACGAACTCGTGTTTTTGAGTTAGTTTTAGTTTATTGTTCGGTGTTAAACCAAGGTTTTGTGTCGTAACAGATTATCCGAGAACGGGCTGTGATCAGTGTTTGTAGGCTTAACCAATTATTATTACTTAGATAATGTTACAGTTACATACGTAAGGTGGATATCTTACATAATTTATACAAATCATTTTATATGTTTCATGCTATCTGAGATTGTATCATTCAGGATATTTTGCTTTGTTGTAATAGCTAGTCCAACAATAAGCAACTTGGCTTTCAAAGCTTCGACTTTCTGTGATGGCCTGATCGATAAATGACTAAATACCATCTAGTTACACCAGTGCTGCTAGTTTAGCTAGGAACGGGATAATTAGTTGCAGTTATCGATTTTCAGGCATGTCAAACATACCCTGAGGAGTTAAAGACAATGACAAGCGTAAGACTGTTCAGGCACTCGAATATTTTTGCTGTGCCTAGATGCATTTTGCTAGTTCAATAAGATTACTTTGCACGTTGATATTACTAAGTACACTTCACAATTATGACGTAGGCTATGTAGGATAGCGCGAAAGAATGATGTTTCAGCGAAGTGAATTTTTTAGACATGCACAGTTTTTATTGTCCTCACTAAAATGTCTATCTTTTTTAATAATTTAGTGGCTTTTCTCAAGTATCTTATTCAATATCTTACGAATATGTAGGTTGCCTATCCCTTAGTTATCACTTATATTGTTTCACTGAGTCTAGCTTATAAAACATCAATACTTTCATCTTATCTACCATCCTGCTTGACAGATGTATTTTTATGAGTGTTTTATTCCAGAGAGTTGACAAGATGTTATGAGTCTTCTGTAGTCCTGAACGAGTTGATACAATTTCAAAGAGGGATATGAGGTTGTTTGTGTATTATCTATCTGACAGGATTCATTGAGTATCTTCAGACGTTTCGTATTCGCTTGTGACAAACACATAAAAATATATGGTCCCACTTTTGATTTTAACATTGGGATCGTTTGTGCAACTACTTTTTGACAGTTTAAGTAAACTTCAACGTTTATTTAGGTTTAGTATCAGCTTTTATATTCTTCAGTCGTAAAATCAGGCTAACGTGTCTGCGGCGATATGACTCAATCTTATGTTGTGATGACCCCATTTACTTTGGGAAACATGAAAATTATTCGCTTCGAACGTACACACAACTTGGATGAAAGTATGGTTCATCACATCGCTGGTGGACAACATTCTGGTATTATAATAAATAAAGAATGCAAGTTAAAAATGGAACCTATGGATGTACCAGAAATGCAATTGCAATTTACGTGCATTATGTTCAACAATAGAACTTCTGAAACTCATGCGGTAAGTATTTCTGGTTATGCTTTCTAACTTATTGTTACTGTCTTATTCATTAAGATTTAGAGAAATAACTAGTATGTTGTCCCATACGTGACATATGTGATTCACAAGCTTTTTTGCGGACATGTGCTCTATTTCGTTTGGTGACTTTAACCTTCCATCGTTTATATGTATCATTACCAAAGTTTGACTTGATAATTTCGAACAAACTGAGCATTGAGTAGATTGTTATAAATAATAATATATTTGTAATATTCATCGTTAGTGTTAAGAATTTCCTAGTTTGAATACTGAGACCATATTAGATGTTTACCTGCTAGATTTTGGTTCAAAAACCGCTCTAATAACAAATGTACGTTCCGGCTTCACTTGTGTCCGTAAGTTTGTAGAATCTTGGTTCCCTAACTATATACCTTTTTACGGCATAATTTCACATCATCAGACAGTTACTAAAGAGCAGTGAAAATAATGGATTCAACACTATGTTTAATATCATCGTGATTGTAGTTCCTCAGTAGTCAACTTCCTTTTTCGGATATTTATCGTCACATAAATATAGCTTGGTCTGTGACTAGATTATTAGCTATACACGAAATATGAATCCTAGTCCAAGAAATAAAATTTGTTACTAAATTGCGTGTACTGACTTTTTATTTGCTCAGCCATAAAGCCGTATTCTCATTTTAAAACTGTGTGGTTGTATTTTGTCTATTCTAAAAACGTCAATCACTCAGTCTCTAGTTGCATTGTAGCATTTCTGTATCAAGTTAAATATAACCATTTTTAAAAGGGCGTTCATGCCGATTGTATAACTTCAAGTATTATACAACTAACAAAACATGTTTAAGAATGGATAGAGATATCAAAGGACTATTAAGTTTATACATTCAACATTTCGTAATGTGAATAAATAATTCATAGAGATGGTTTTGTATTCATGGAGTCGACATACATTCCAATTTAAAATGACGGAATAAGCGATGACTAGGCAGTCTTGTATTAGTTGCATTCCTATCTTATTAGATGTTTTTTTCACTGAACGCTTACATAAATGAGTTCACGTAAATGGAGCCTTCATTTTGCACTTAGAGCATTATTTGTTTACATTATTAGTTTCTTGTTCATTACGATCGAAAACGGGAAGTAGTTGTTTTTTATCAACTAGCTATGTTTTAGTGAACTTCACTGATTAAAACATGTTATTTTTACAAATCCAAAGGGTACTTATTTTTGTGCACTATCTAAATCATCCAGTCAATTATGAATAACTTAAGAACGAACTAACGTTTATTGGCTGAGTTTGTCACACTTCAAACCACTATGGTTAAACAAAAAGATGAAAACAATATCAGTGACAAGTAGATGCGTATGCTATTAATTGCAAGTCTTTTTTATTGATATCATTTCTATTTTCCTTTATTCATAACTGAATACTAATAGACCAGTCATCAATCACTGTTGTCTTAATTTTGTTCAGATTATCATTAAGCGTAAGATGTCATTTTTGAGTAATTATATATATCTATATCTATCTATCTATCTATCTCTCTCTCTCTCTCTCTATATATATATATATATATATATATATATATATATATATATATATATATATAATCTGCTGACTGCTTTTAGGAAAACCGTTGTTTAAAATTCTGGTTCAGCAAAAGTGCTCAACAATTTGATCGTTTGGATGAGTCATACGACTTTTTTAGGGAACTTATTGACCCTGATGCATTCCCAAGGGGTGAGTTAAAATAATTTTTGCTGTTTGTACAAAATGAATAGATCAGATGTCGATTTATTCATTTATTTGAATGCATAAATATCGGTGCATATGGACACCAAAATAAATATTTACACAAATAAGTGAATGAAATTAGGGAGAGAAAAATGAATGTGTGGATATAACCAAGAAGTGATTGAGTAAAAATAAATGAACGAAAGTAGTTAATAATGATGGAAATACTTCAATTAAAAAAATACAACCAGTATGAGTCCTTCTGATGAAGAAAGTAAATGAAAATGACAGCAGGACCGGATTATTTTCTAAGCTATATCTAATAACTTCTCAGGCTATTGAGTTGGACTATCTCTCGGACGCCAGCTATTAAGTCATGATTAAGTGACACATGCCAGTCTTACAGTTTCCTTTCAAGCCTCAGTAAAGTGTCTTAAACTGACAGCCTCCGCTTTTTCAAACCAGTCCCAGCTTCGGCAAATAAAAGATTATGTGGGAGCCTCTTTTATAAAGTTCTTAGCATTTGTCTAATCCACTGTGGCTATTAGTTGAAGGCGATGACATCAAGTGAACTATCACCACTCCATCCAAAAATGCATCGCCAAACCTCTGCTTTACTAACTCGGTTTTGTCACTGAACGTCAGCAGTTTTTTGTAGACAACGGTGACTGAGTACAGAGAGTAGCTTAATATCCTCGAATCGAAGGGGCCAGGTTTTCTAAGAATGAGTCAAAACTGTTTTCACCGTTGTGTTGTATACCAGACCTTTTACAGTTAATACCAGAATACAGTCCTGTCCAACGAGTTGGAATCGACTCTGATGTTGAGAAACACGACTGTTGGGCTACAATATGTATAGAGGTGCTCTAATATTTAGTAAAGGATTAGGATATCAAAACATTTACAAGCGGAACGAAAGCCAGCCTGGTCTTTGCGAGCCAGTCTTTTATGGGTTTAAGCAATCTTCAAAGTATGACGGAAGCCGATAGTTTGGACTCAGTCGGAAATACATTTATTCACTTGTAGATGACTTAAGCTTTTTTTAAAGATAGGGGTGACTGTCTCTTCGTTCTAGGATGTTAGAAGTCTCATTCTCAAACTTTTTAAACAACCTAGTCAGTTCCCCAAACAGAAATTTACCATCTTTAGAAATGGTCGCGGGTAATTCTTCCAGAAGCGGTGATTTACAGGGCTTCAGGAGGAGTCCTTAAGAACCTCTACTTCATTAGACGAGTCATTCGTCACAGACCATGAAGGTCAAGACAGTCGGGTTAATGTCGCCTGGGCTAAAGTCCATCAGCAATGTCCCTCGTAAAACTCCGTCCATCGTTCAAGACACCGTCGGATATCATGGGTTGATGTCTCGTTATCTTCACAGATTGTTCCACTTACAACAAACTTCCCGATGCTAGTTGTTTGGTTGAGTCGAAAGAGGTTTCGGTAGCTATTGCTTTCAACTCGTTAGAACGCCCTGGCCACCAGGCTTTATTCCTTTATATATAAAGCTTCCTAAAATGAAACAGAAATTAGTTTGTCGTACTGAATATAGTGAAAATGTTTTGTATGAGTTAACGAAAGTAAATCACATATCACCAGTCGTAATAAAGATAAAACTATTGAGGTGAGTAGTCTGAATACGAATAAAACCTAAGTGCATCTCTTTTTTATGAAGAAAACAGGTAGATTACAGAAGTATTGGCTTTGATTTTGGTTTTGATTCTTATCTGTAAGCGTCTGAAAGCTTTGAGTCACATAGTTTTTTTCGCCTTAAATTTATGGACTGTTTTGCGTTGTAGAAGCAGATTATATGAATCGAGTCTGCATGACAAAACCGATCAGTGTTTGGGGACGGGGGACATGGCTTCGGATCGGTTATAGTACCATAGCTGTGTCCACTGCATCCTACGGGTCAAGGTCAACAAACGAAATCCACTAAGACAAAGCGTCAGGACCTAAGTCTGTAAATCGAATACTGATATCTTCTATTTCCTAGTACTCTGCGAGGTGTCAATGTTGCTCACATGGTTTATGGAATAATTTTGTTAACGACCGTCACGTATTTTCCACTTAGGGAAGGTAGATTTTATGATCGTAATATGGGAACGTTGGTACAAAGCTTTGTAAATCCGATCATCTTCATCCATGTTAAAGTATCATCGTCACAAACAGTCACCCAAAATAATATAAGTTCCAGGTTTTTATATTTATAGATATATTTAGTTGAACACATTATCGCCTAATTTCACACAGGCTCCTAAATACCGAAATTCGAGTGTTCATTGCAACCTTCCTCCAAAAAGTAGCACAGAAATAAGATACAATCAGTTTTGTTGCTGTGCTTAACGTTTTTATGGTGATGATCCTTCAAGTTGCTTTTTTCGTCAGGTTGGTTGCTATTCATCGTCCATGCAAATTGGTCGGTAAAGTTTGAGTGAGTTGTTTTAAACTACTTCACTTAGTCCAGTCTCTCGTTTTTGCTTTTATGTGAAATTCCACCATTACTTCAGAACAGTAATTAGAGCCTTTATAACAGAATTTAAAAGATTCGAACAGTCAGACGATTCTTTAGTACCATATGGAAAGTGTGATCTACAGTTTTACTTCTCATTGTTTGAGACGTGAAGATATTTCTCAGGCGATATAACCTATCAAATGTATTCTCAAGTAATGCTTTTCTGGACAATTTTGGTGTGTCGTTAGTTTCAACTGAGTATATAGCAAGTACAATATGTAATGATGGGTCGACTTCAAAGTCATAGGATTGACTAAGAGATAATTCCATTAGTTCAATACCGCAATAAAAGCTGAAAATGAAACACGTTTTGACAAAATCGGAGAAAACTTTTAGTATCTGTATAACCTCATGTGATAAATAAGAAAGTTGCAACTGTGTATTCACAATTCTAATAATATGCTACTTCAGTTGTACTGCTTGTTTCTAGCGTTTGTTTTTGCAAATCACTCGAGTTTTTCTATCTTCAATTTTCTTAATAGTTTGTTGACTTTCATCATTGTTCTTGACATCTTGTTGTCACTTGTTTTTCAGACTATGTTGGTTTTCTTAAAAAGGTTCTAAAGCTGATGCATGGAAGTCGTTATCTACGTCTTCGTCGTGTAGATTTGGACATTATACCTTTAGACGAACTGGAACAAGAGTCCTTCGTCCCTGGTAAGGAATTGTTCATTATATTGATATTGTTCGTTAAAAGACAGACAATCTCATGTACTTTCGTGTATACTAATTTGCCTGTTAAGATCAACTAATATCAAGTCTCATTGAATAATGCCTTCTTGGATCTTTAAATGAGAACCAGCTTTATCAAGTTTACTTGTGCACTTTGTTGACTTTTGAGTGATGGTAAACTATTAAGACGTAGAATTATATATAGGTGTGTTATTTTTTATGTTTGCCATGATCTTCTCTTGCGTAATATTTCAGTCGCTTTAGAGTTGTCACTTAAATATTTTGTAAACAAATGTTCACTACATTAATTTTAAAATCTTTAGTATTTGATGGGTTTTGTGGATATTATAGTGATTTCAATGGTTAAGATCATGAATCAGTTGAATCTAGACCACCATGGAAAACCTGGAAGCACCGAACGGCCGTTTCGTCCTTATGTGGGACTCCTCAGCAGTGCTGAGGAGTCTTTAATATTTGTTAATATCGTTTAGTATAGTAAGTTTCTTTCTTATTACTGTAGTGTCCGTTTCGTAGCTTATATTAGAAATACCGAGAAAATGACAGTAGTTCACAGTTTGTAGTGATTCACCTTTATTTTAAAGTCTAAAAAATTTGTTGAGTGGCTTACATATTGATAACGAGTGATCCTTTAAAAAAATAGTTAAAGTATGTAAACGTATATTCCTCAAAACCATGGAAAAATTATTAATACTTCCACTTCAGCTTGCGATAAAAGAGCATACTGACCCATACCAGTTTGCATACAGGCGCAAAAGAAGCACTTTAGATGCTGTTGCAGTTCTGCACCACAACATAGTGTTCAACTTAGAAAAGGGTAAGAAGTATGTTCGTTGTGCTTTTCTGGACTATACTTCAGCTTTTGACTCTATACCAAGACAACGTTTACTTAACAAGTTAATCAGCGTCAACACTGACAGCTGGATAACCAACTGGCTATGTTCCTACCTCTCTGGAAGGGAACAGTACACTGTGTTTGGAGGAAAGTGTTCGGAGTCTCTACTGTCTCAGGAAGGTGTACCACAAGGAGCTGTTCTTTCACCTCTTCTATTCTCTTTTTTTCTGCATGACCTGCCATCTTCCACAGAAAACACTTTTGTGAAGTATGCGGATGATCTCACTGTATGTATGCCTATATCTTCCTCTTTACATCCCGTAGAAATGAATGAGTTTTTGTCTCGTATTGATTGTTGGTCTGTTGGTAATGGTCTCATACTTAATCCGTCTAAATGTCAAGCTGTTAACTTTAGCATGAGACATGAACGGAATATAAACACCATTTTGAGATCCCATAATGCTTGTGCCATCGGAGACTCTTTCATAAACTCAGTGTCGAAGGTCAATTATCTTGGTGTCACCTTTTCCTCTGATCTGTCTTGGTCTTCCCACGTTTTATCGTTATCGAAGAAGGTTTTCCGTCTGACCTACTACATAAAGAGATTGCATGCTCTTGGGATTACTCGTCATTTACTCTTACAATTTGTCAATTCTTGCATTTTACCTATTATTCTTTACTGTTCTCCATTATTCTTTCCCGGGCTTTTGAGAAAAGACTTTGCTGTATTGCGAAGAGTGCTGAAGGCAGTTAGCAAGATGTGTGGTGAATCTTTCGAGGCCATAATTAATATGGTTGTGGATAGACATTTAAAATCATGCAAACTCCTGGCAGGTGTTATTTTATCAGATACTAGCCATCCCCTTCACTCTTATCTTTCTCCTTGTATATCTTCTGGTAGAACGAGACGTAATTACATTAAAATCCATGCACGTAAGGAAAAGTATAAAAGTTCTATAATACCTTACCTAGCAAATATACTATGTGACGAACAGGTTGTTAGAAATAACCTAGTTAATAATTTACATTCTTAACATGTCTTTAATTTTAAAAAGTTTGCACAGTTTTTTTTGGTCTTTTTTTTAAAAATTTATTTAAAAAAAAACTTCCTTTTTTTTAAAAAAAAATTTCTTTTTGTATTTTCTACTGCCTATTTGTTCGTCTTTTTTTCAGTAAGTAACTTGTTGAAATACCCTGTGCTGAGAATTCTATATTGTACCAAAATATAATATTGAATAAAGCCATTAATAATAATAATAATAATAATAATAATAATAATAATAATAATAATAATAATTTAGTTAAATTTCAATTCATCATCTAGCTGTTTAACTATGATCTATATAAATCAAACCAAAGTAATTTGATCATCATCTATTATTGGATATCTACTGATAATATGTGATCATTAAAAATGTATATTTTGCTGATTTATTCATGGACTTATTGTTCGACCTATTAGGTCTATGTATACTTATGTTAATTGAAAACTTGTGAGTCATGTTGTTGAACTACCAGCATTCTTAATGAAGACAATCATCAGATCTATTGTTTTTGAAAGTTTTACTTGCCAATTTGCAGTTGTCTAAACTATACTCAACTTGTAATTTTGTGTGGAAGTGAGGGCTTCACTTTATCGATTAACCAACTGGTGTATACCAAAAACAGGATTTAAGTTGTCAACGTAAAGACCGTTATTTAGTTTATATTACTTTTAAAAAAAAGTTATTGTTTACACACTGACCGTAATTTGATCTTGTTTACTCATGTATTTGTTTAATTGTGTATGAGTAATTTGGTTTTAGGAAAAATACCAGGCTATGAAATATGTACATAGTATACACAGTTATCCATCTTTTCATTTACATGAACCTTAGTAAGACCATACTTTGCATATTGTTACAATACCTTTGCGTGTAAATAGTGTAGATTTGAAACCAGGTTTAGTTCTCGTCAATACTATGAACTGTATTTGATGTATATATGAGTGTATGCATTTAATTATGTTATGAGACTAAATTGACCGAAGTAGGCGAAACTGGACACTAACCCGTAGTTAAACATTGAAAAGACATGACTGGTAGTTACTAAATTACAATTCTGTAGACAATTTAGCTTAGTACATCACCAGAAATCCTTAGTTTTGAAGTTTACTTAAAATACTCATATATACAATTAATCGAAAGACTGTAAATTGATGGTTTGTTGCCGTAGGTAGGAAGTGTTCGACCTAGGTTTCGTGCAAACTGGGACTTGTGGACAATAGGTATCTGGAGTCGTAAAGTAACTAATTCCCCCGTAACTTTCAAGCTCACGTCTCTGAATCTCATAGTCGATGTCACGGCTGAACCATCTGTACTGAGACTGATCTGTAAAACTGAGTTATTCACACTAATTGATTACTGAGGAGCTCATCAGCTTTCTCAAGAGTGCAGATACATCTTGCTGATATGTACTAACTAACATGAAGCCTAAGTTCAGGGCATCTTGGTGATTTTCGCCAACCATCAACTCACATGAAAATACAGTCTGAACGATTTGTATTCAGATTACAACTTGATCTATATAGTTAAGTGAACATTAAGGACTAGACAAGTATGGCGTCGTTCACTGCTTAGTGTTCAATCACTGTAAACCTGAAGGTGTTTTTAAAATTATGGATAATTGAAACTCATTAAACACTGCAACAAATCACATTATAGGATAATGTTGTATCATACCGTTAATTGAGGTTGTACATAAAATCAGGGCAATAGTTCACCAGAACTCTTAAAGAGTATGAGTGCATAACAAATATTTCATGCTTCCCAGTGTTTAAACTGTTCTTTTTCGAAGTCACCTTGTGATAAAAATTACTTCGAAATTTCCTGAAAATTAATAGTGAATTAGTTGTCTGGATATTGACACAGAGGTTTGTCGATTTCAAATAGTTTTTATGGTTATAACTAAATCTGTCTCACGTCATCAATTTTTTCTCCATTCTAAATTTTGAATAAGATATAGGCATATCATAAACTAGTTGGAAAATTGATATATTTCTTTGTCATTGATTTCTCGCATGTTGTATTTATCAAAAATTTACCAGCTAAATATTATTCATAATAGTCTTTAATCGCTATTCATTCATTCACATCTATCTAAACATTTGACTTATACCTCCGTTTATATTTCAATGTATGAATTAGATGGTGCATGGACTTTCATTTATATAACTATATATATTAATGTGTACAGTTGATTGATCACTGGGTGGTGATCAATATCTTGCTTGTCTAGTCCTTATTAGTGCAGATCGAATGCTATCGATCATGTTGCAATGTGGCCACCAATCTAGGTGACTCGACACTGCGGGCACTATGTATTGATATTTAGATGGTGGTTGGAGGTAGTCAACAGGAAACCCTGGACCCGGGTTTCGTGCTACTTGGCATTCGTCAGCAAGGTGTATCTGTAATCTTGAGGGAACTGGTGCTCCCTGGCGGATTCGATCTCGTGTCAACCAGCTTCACAGTCAGAGACGTTAACACTGAGCTATCCGAGCCGTGACTAACTTCCTGTAGGACTGGGATGTAATTACAATTGATTTATCACTGTGTGGTGATCAATATCTTGCTTGTCTAGTCCTTATTAGTGCAGATCGAATCTCAATACATAGTGCCCGCAGTGTCGAGTCACCTAGATTGGTGGCCACATTGCAACATGATCGATAGCATTCGATCTGCACTAATAAGGACTAGACAAGCAAGACATTGATCACCACCCAGTGATCGATCAATTGTAATTACATCCCAGTCCTACAGGAGATTAGTCTCGGCTCGGATAGCTCAGTGTTAACGTCTCTGACTGTGAAGCTGGTTGACACGAGATCGAATCCGCCAGGGAGCACCAGTTCCCTCAAGATTACAGGTACACCTTGCTGACGAATGCCAAGTAGCACGAAACCCGGGTCCAGGGTTTCCTGTTGACTACCTCCAACCACCATCTAAATATTAATGTTTAATATGATAACCCGATTAATTTACCTTTCCACTGTTAATAACATTCAGTTTGATTGGAATTGTCCGAGAAAATTTCTGTTTGGTATTGACGTAAAAAGTAGTGAGGTGAAGCAGTTTTCAGTTGTATAGAAATG